AAACTCTGTTGTTGAGTCACTGTACAGGATCACAGGTCACCTCTGCAGTGAGTTTGAGTTGAATGGCAGTTAAATTAACATGCAGCAGCTGCTTCTTGTTTTTCAGCTCACTAATGAGAGCTTCCCGTTGACTAACATGAAAACATCACACTTAATCACCTGTTTGTATTGACTATATTAACACTTGTGTGTTTTTTTTCCCCTCTCCAAATCATGGCTGACTCACTTGTTCATTATTGTTGATTGAGAGCTCGTCTCTGGAGGGATTTTCAATAAATCGGGTTCAGTGTTTTACAGAATCAGCTCAGAGAACTCCCTCCTGGAGATCCAGCTGGAGAAACCGCACACCTGGCTGCCAGTTTGCTCTGAGAAGTGGAATTCCTCACTGGGAACACTGGTTTGCAGACAGCTGGGTTATCTGAGGTGCGTCACTAACTGAGACCCGAGTGCCAACTTTTAGATTTTATTATAGCTTAATTATGTGTTCATAAATAATTTATAGTCACGTTTCACATCCTATAAACCTGAATGATGTTCATATTCTTTCCCACCCATTTCTGGGTGCTCTCTTGCCAGACTGACCAAGCATAAAGGAGTGAATCTGACAGACGTAGGGCCAAACTACACCGATGGTTTTGTACAAATTGCTTCAGTGCAAAAGAGCAGTCTAGAAAATATGTGGCAGGTCAGGTAAGACAATTTATCTGAGGACTTCATGCTCATAATTATGCAAATTATGCATGAACAATTTTGGCTACAAACAAATTAATTATGCATCATTAGCTAACCGATTTATTTTCATTTAGGGAGAGCTGTATCACAGGGAAGGTTATCGCTTTGCAATGTTTCGGTGAGCAAATTAAAGTTCACTTTTGAAATGACTTTGCATTTAGCACAAAAACCTGTTCTTATCCCTTTTTTTGTAAAACACTATGTGGGAGCAGACAGAATGAATACATTCGCTGCAGCACCAACAAGTTTAACTCCTCTCTGATGAATGGTTCTGTGTAGAGTGCGGGACACGAGCAAAGCTGCCCAGGATAATAGGAGGAGTTGAGGCCACCCTGGGCAGGTGGCCCTGGCAGGTCAGCCTTTACTACAGCAACCGTCACAACTGTGGAGGGTCCATCATCACCAGTCAATGGATCGTAACAGCAGCTCACTGTGTGCACAAGTAAGACAGCTGACCTTATAACTAAGAGGCTACAGCTGCTTTAACACTCAGACGTTAACAGCTGCACAAAACTGGACACAGTCTTTTAAATCCCCATCTATTTTATGTTGTTTTTTTCTCTCTCTTTTCTAAAACGTCAGCTACAGGCTTCCTCAAATATCCAGCTGGATGGTCTATGCTGGCATTGTGACCCGTGGTTCTGCTAAAACGGTTCAGCATGCAGGATACGCCGTGGAGAAAATCATCTACAACAAAAACTACAACCACAGAAGCCATGACAGCGATATAGCCCTAATGAAGCTTCAAAAGCCACTCAATTTCTCAGGTCTGCCTGCCAAAAGCTTTGCACACCAGCATGTCCACTAAAAAAAAATCTTCTAAACAAAACAAATTCTTCAGATGTTAAAAACACACTTGGTAAAGCCCATGTAAATCTCTTAAGCACATGGATTAAAGTCTTCATAGTAAAAAGATTTAAAAGCAAAACTTGTAAATTAATCCAGTCATGTTGTAACCTGTCAGATTTATTGTGTTAAGACGCAAAATCCTTTTTTCCCCCTTTAACTAGACACAATTAGACCCATCTGTCTGCCTCAGTATGACTATGATCTCCCCAGTGGCACACAGTGCTGGATTTCAGGATGGGGGTACACTCAGCCTGATGGGGGTGAGATACCGCTGCAGCACACCTCCAGTGTTTACTCCAGTAACGTGTCAAAATCAAACATAATGTGACGCTTGTATTTACAGAGCAGCATTAAATGTGTCTTTCCTCCTTCAGTTCACTCACCCGACACCTTGAAAGAAGCACCAGTTCCTATAATAAGCACAAAGGTTTGCAACAGCTCCTGCATGTACAACGGAGAGATCACGCCACGGATGCTTTGCGCCGGCTACACGGAGGGAAAAGTAGACGCGTGTCAGGTCAGATATATGTTTTGAAGCCTGTTTAAGATATACCCTTTCCTGTGATATTTGCTCACAGCTAAAGTGTAATGTGTTTGTGTCTACCTCTCCAGGGGGATAGTGGCGGTCCTCTTGTTTGCCAGGATGAGAATGTGTGGAGGCTGGTCGGAGTTGTCAGCTGGGGAACAGGATGTGCAGAACCAAACCATCCAGGTGTTTACACCAAAGTGGCTGAATTTTTAGGCTGGATCTATGAAATAATTGAGGTAAAGATTAAAAAAAGAAAAGATGGATCACAAAATTAAGAACCACATAAGTCATAGTATAATGCTGATCTGCACGCTATGATTACAGCATGTATTATCGGATGGCAAAACTACATATTGCATGTTGCTTTAGTACAAAACATGACTAAAGAACAAAAGTCTCCAAACAATTTGCTTCACATTGAATTTGACAATGTCACACTCTTTCAAGAAATTTCTGACTGAGCTAATCAAAAACAAATCAGACAAAAGTCACTGAGCTTAAGTGAATAACTTAAATTTTCCAAATATTTGTTGAAAATTCTGCTCTTTAAAAAGCTTTGTGACTTAGTTATTTCTAGTTAATCTGTTTGTTGTTGGTTTTTTCATTGTGCCACTGAACTAAAACACCACAATCGTTTACATCAGTTCCAAGAATCCTAATTACAGTAATCGCACACAACTATTATTATTTTTGGTTCAGCTAAACAAAGGATGGGATGCTGTAATTAAAGTTTACACTGATTGCTAATGATCACTCACTGTCTTTGCAGGATCACTGAAAACAAGAAGAAGATGCTGTTGATGTGACTGAGATATTTGAAAATAATAGCTTTGTATTTTATACACTTAATACACTCCAATCTCTAAATGGCTCATGTGCATTTGACAAATACAAGATAAATATGGATTTCTTGAAAATGCATGCCAACACTTCTTTACCATTGTTTCATCATTTGCTTAATTTATGTATTGTGCAGTCTATTTTCCCAGATGCCTGGAAGTTTGCTCAGATTACTCCCATTTTTAAATCTGGTGAGCCAACAGAAGTTTCAAACTTTCGGCCAATTACTGTTCTTCCTATTTTTCTAAGTTACTTGAAAAAACATTATTTAATCAACTACTTCAGCATCTAGAAGCTAGTAATATGCTAAGCAATAGCCAACATGGTTTCCGCAAGTCAAGGTCAACCATGTCTACATTAATTTTATCCACTGAACAAATACGTGCTGCTTTGAACAAAGGTCAAGTAACTGGTGCTGTATATATTGATTTCCGTAAAGCGTTTGACACAGTTGATCATTATACTCTCTTACAAAAGTTGATTTCTTTTCAACTTTCATAATCTGCAATTCAAATTTTTTCCTCTTATTTGACTGATTGTGTGAAACATGGAAGCTCTGTGTCCGGGTCTCTGCCCTGTTCCGTGGGAGTTCCGCAGGGTAGCATACTGGGCCCATTGCTTTTCCTATTATACATAATTGACCTTCCAAAAATATTGAAGTATTCAAATATTTTAATGTATGCTGATGATACTGTTCTTTTTTTTTTTGTCTGATTTCAATATAGAATCTATTAATAGTCAGTTACAAGCAGATCTTCAGACATTTCATGGTTGGCTTCAAGATAATCTTTTGTCAATTAATGTTAAAAAAAAACTGTGTGCATGTATTTTTCCTCACCCAGGAGACATTTCAATATAACAAATCAACTCACTTTTTTAAACAAACCCCTTGATATTGTCACTACCTACAAATATCTTGGAATTACTTTGGATTCTCATTTGACTTGTGATCATGTACAAGTCTTAACCACTAAGTTGAAACAGAAATTATACGTTTATTCAAAAATTAGATCCAATCTGACATCTTCTGTTTCAAATATCTATCTTCATGCCATTATACTCTCAACCATGTCGTACTGTTTACCTGTTTGGTCTCTTACAACAAATGAAATCTTAGAACCCATAGTTAGGCTCTACAACAGGGCCTACAAAATTCATAAAAAAAAACTTCCTGGTTGGACTCATCACTGTACAGTTCTTTCGTTGTCTGATGCCTTGACTTTTCAGAATTATGTTTTGTATAGTGGTATTAATTTATATTTTCAGATCTTCCAAGGTGCCAATTATGGAACTCTCTGTGCATTGCTGCCCAAATCAAATTCTGGAAGTGGTCATTCAACTAGATCTGTTACAAAAGGACAACTGATTTTACCAACTTTTAAAAACTGATACGGCCAGAGGCCTATCTTCTATGTTTATACTAAAGCATGGAATGACATTACTCAAAACATAAAGTCCATTTCAAAACTACAGCCCTTTAAGAAGAATCTTGTCTGCATCTGCTGGACACTTTTTGTTGTGCTCATATTTAGACATCCGATTTTGCAAATGCTGCCTTTTTGAAATTTGGTATACTTGTTTGTCTTTGTGTCTATGGTGTAATAATAATAATAATGATGTGATTGTGATGCTGTAATTCTGAGTGTTTTATGTGCTGCAGAACAGGAACCTGATGTAAAACAGCATTATGCTGAGTCAGGCTTGATTTTTAATAATCTTTTCCTGTTAAATAAATAAATCAAAATCAAATTTATATTTTAAATGTCAGTTATACTATGTATACATTATACCAAGTTTGGGATCTTTAAAATGCATTTTATGTTGTATTTTTATATATATATAAAAAGTGTGTGAACATTAAAAATATGTTTTATGTATTTTTTTTACGTGAAGAATAAATCATGTTTCTCTCAAACACTAAGTCCATTTATTATTAAGCTGCATTTCCTCTTTGCGTCCGACAGGGGGCGACTCTTTAGCGTTTTATAAAGTGTCCATGGCAATTACTAACAAACAGTGCTCGTTGAGATGTTAACGAAACTTACCAGGTTTGGTTTGTGCATGTTTTTCCTCAGTGTTCTACATTATAATTTGTTTCAACAGCAACTTTAGCGATAAGCTTGTTTTGCAAATCAAACGCATACATTTAAGCGTTTTTTTCTTGCAGCTGGGACAGCTAAATTACCGAGCGAGCTGAGGCTAACACGATGAATGACAAGAACGATATGTCTTCAACAGAAGTAGATGTTTTGCGGCAGGTCAACCAGTTTTGGTCCATGCTGGATGAGCTCTCTCTAAATGACCCCACAGGATACCGCAAGTTTATCGAGATACAAATGAAAAAGGGGGCAGAATTCAACGCACCGCCTGAGCTCCACTCCTGTGTGAGAACTGAAATGTTGGTAAGTTTATTAGTCACAGGTGCGCTGATGTGTGGTAAAGTATGGAAGGCCGTTGTAGCATGTAATCAAGCCACACGCTTCTTTCCACTTGCACAAATAAAAAGCAGCGTTGTAAAAAGTACCACAAAGTGATACTTGAGTAAAAGTACCAGTATCTTACCAAAACATTACTTTGGTAAAAGTTAAAGTCTCCTTTAGGAATATTACTTGAGTAAAAGTACAAGTATCTTATAAAACTTACTTTGGTAAAAGTTAAAGTCTCCTTTAGGAATATTACTTGAGTAAAAGTCTTATCTGATATTTTTTGTACTTAACTATGATTTAAAATGAGCAGTTAGATTTTGCCTAATGATATTCCCCAAAATGAAAATCTGTCCGAGAGCTGCGGGCCAAAGGCAATTATATAATTCATGAAATACAAATACTTCTTAAGTAAACCAAATGGCTTGGTGGGCAAGTTTTAGCCCACGGGCCCCGCTTTTTACACCTCTGAGATATATACTGTATATATACGTATGTATGTA